ACTACTGACGTTGGTGGAGCCATCCCATCGGGCAACTCCTAGCCTCTAAGCGCAGAAAGGCTTGTCTTGGCCTGCCTTGGCCAGGACGCCGCACGAGTTTCTTCCGCTGTAGAACTACCCCCGTGACACTATTGCCTTGCTGAATGTGTAACCATCGTCATCAAACGCTGTTTCAAGAGAGAACCATGACACGGAAACTTTCCTTCATCTCTTCTATATCAAGGTAAATTATAAAAACTTCCCCTGGCTTTTCTGACAATATTATAAATCTCTCTGAAACTTGACTCTATCAAAAAACTCCCCAAATATTTATATTACAAAAATCTCCCTTCCATTAGTTTTATTAACACAAAACGCTTATAAAAATATATAAATCTCTTAAACTATTCCTACTGTTAGCGAAATTGACTAACTGTACCTTTAATTTTTATATATTATTTTAAAGTGCCTTATTTTTAAAAATTGACATAGAAATGAAATATCGAATTTGCCCTCTACTGTTCCTCAAATTTTAAAATAAAACCCAACTGGTGAAACCTTACTGCTTGAAGCATGAAACTAAGGGTATATCCTGTGAAGCTAGAAAATAAAATTCGCTGTAGAAGATTGAATTGGAAAGGTGCAATTCCTCTCCTATTAAACTCCAAAAAACGAGTTGTTTGAGGAATAAAATTCGCTGATCTTCTTCTTCCTCCACCCCCTTCCCAGATCTCCAATTCCCATAACTCCCCGGAACCATTGCAGCTCAAAGAGGGCACCGAGACCCCCTTCCACTCTTCGTTCTCCTTATTTTCTTCTTCTTCCTCCGCCCCCCTCTCAGATCTGCAACTTCCAACTGTTTTTTTTATTGAAAGAGATCTAACTTTGCATTTTCCCCTGCGTTTTGAATTTCTTTTTGAGCTATTGAATATGTGAATTGGGGTTTTTCGTGTTAAATTGATAGATTTTTTCTTACTCTTCATCTATAAAATATACAATATGCATTTTTACTTACATTTTGCTGTTTTAGTTATCTACTTATCGATCTTGCAATGCCTCTGGTTTTATTTAGAATTTTCTTTCATTTACTTCATCTTAGGATTTTTATGACTTCTCTGCATGCATTCTGATTCTCCTTATTGCATGGTTTCAGCCCAAAGGCAAACAGGGTCCAGAAGATGGGAAGATTTTTGAACCCCCTTAATGGGGTTTCTGTTGTTGTGCTCCTGGGTAGTCATAGAAGCAGAGTACCTCAAATATAAAGACCCTCAACAGCCACTAAATGTTCGGGTCAAAAATCTTTTGAACACGATGACTTCAGAAGAAAAGATTGGACAGATGACGCAGATTGAGCGAAGCGTTGCTTCTGCCAAAGTGATGAAGAACTCCTTCATTGGTAAAACACCGATAATCTTCTTTTGCTATTGATGAAACCAAAATATTTTGAAGTAATGTGTGCTCTGTTTGGGTTAGGAAGTGTACTGAGTGGTGGAGGGAGTGTGCTAGTCTAGTTCAGTAGATTTGTTCTCTCTCTCACTGTAGTGGATGTGGACAAAAGAGCTCACGTTAGCAGACTGCTGGAGACGGAGACCGCGGGTTTTCTTATGTTGGGTTCAGATGCCAGGGCACGCTGGAGAACGCTAGTTGATTGCTTTAGTGGAATGGTTGCACCACCGACGGCCGTGAGTAGTGGTTCGCTGTAGCAGTGACAGGGGAGAGGGATGGTGAAAAAGAAGGGAGAGGGATGAAGGGTAAAATTGGGTTTTAAAGAAAATTTATACATTACATGATGTGACGTGTGTAAAACAAAACCTTAATGGATATTAACGATAGGGATAGTTTAAGAGATTTACCCTTAATGATTTAATTTTTAAAATTCCAAATTTACCCTCCACAAAGTTCACAAGCTCTCCTCGGTGGCGGGCGTTTCATCATAGAACATAGGCAAGCAAGTATTTATTCAAAGATCCGACCTACTTTTTTTTACAGGTAAAAGGTCCGACCTACTTAGTCGATCCATGTTGATTGACCCACTTGTTCATCTACATTGGAATTGGGATCTCTTCCTCACAAGCGTTTTTCACACAACATTCGAGAAATGTTTCTAATGTATGACTGTTATATGCTGTGAGGTCTGTTAAGGAGCGTTCTAGGAGTCTTAGAGAACTATTCATCCTTTTTTCATGCCTGTCATGTAAATCAATTTTGAGAGAACCACTTTACTCTCATGACTGTCACGTGATAGATACAGGTTGGATCAATCCATATATCCAAAAATTGTAAAAATGCAGAAAAAATGCAGA